GTATGAGTTATCTTCCTAATTTTATCTAGTCTAATAGATACACAGTGATATCCCATAGTTTTAAAGTGGCATCCACTTCCTAAATAACATGCATCTGGAAACTCTGTGGACTTTGATAAACGTCGATAGTTGTAGAGGCTTCAGGCTCTTTGTTCATAGGGTCTCTATGAGTTCTGCTCGACTCGAAGGCAATCAACGACAACAGCAATGATTTGAGAAGGAACAAGCCTAGTGGACAAGGAATTGTGCTGCTAACCCAAAGGCTGGCAGCTGCTCTGGAAGAGGAGTGATTTACAACCTCTGACAACCTGCTGGAGAATCAACAGGGAGTTGCTTCCTGCTCAGAAGCAGTGAGGAGGGAGCATGCCGTAAGGGCACCTGACAGCAACAGCAGCATTAACTGTAGTTACAGTAGTGGGTGAAACGTACAGTGAGTGTGAGGAGGGTGGTCACTGTGCAGGAACCATTTCTAAGGCGTCTAACAACAGTGACTGAGAAACATCTTTTATTTGCCATGGAGAGGGCAGTGTGTTTTTAATAAATTAGATGTTAGGGGATGTTTTGTTTTGTTTTTAAAGGAACAAATGAAACCCAAAATTCACAGAAACAATAGAAGGAAAGCAATAAAATAGAAAACAGAAAGTAAAGCAAGCCTCCTTTTTTACTGAGCTTTATTAATTTGTTTCCTTCAAGGAATTTGTCTATTTCATCTAAATTGTCAAATTTATATTTATGTAACTCTTTACTTCCTAGTGTTTCAAGTTGGTTTTTTTTTTCCCTTTCTTTTGTAATCTGTCAGGTAGTTAAGTGTTGCTAAATCAGCTCTGAGTACAGAATAAACCTCCTGGTCCTGAGCCCTCCTCACAGCATCTGCTGTGCTCAAGCCCGTGGGTATAGTCACTTTGCTAATCCATCTCATTGGGGTTTTCTTTGTCACTGACCCTCTACTTTCCCAAGCATGATGGCCTTCTCCAAGCCTGATGGCCTTCTCCAGGGTCTGACTCATGATAACATGCTCAAAGTATTCGAGCTGAAGTCTCACCATCTTTATTTAATCTTTTGTTGTTGTTGATTGCCTTCAACTTTAGCACAACTCATAGTGACCCTCTAATCTTAGTACCCCAGTACTGAGGTAGTACCTTTCTAGAGTTACCATGGGAACACCTGAGTGTTCACCCCTTGACTGTTGTGCCAGGTGCCTCAGGAATTAGGAGTTTCATCAGTTACCGTGTGCAGCACCCTGCACTGCTCCCTTAACCGTCGTGGTCTTTCTCCCACATGGCGAGTCACGTGCGTGGACTCTTGGGTGTACTCTTTGTGTGGCTTTCATCTTTGTACTTTGTCATAGGGTTTCTAATGGAACAACCTGGGGAGAGGAAACATTATTAAAATGTGGCGTTAGGACAGGAAATGGAGCCCTCCAGAGGCTTTCTTTTGTCCTTTGTTTTTCATTCATTAGACAAATTGATTGAATTTTGCTGGGTGTGGAATGGGGGTGGCAAGAGTATGAGAGTTTTATGTGGGAAAGTTCTTGGGATTGCGTTCTCTGCATATTAAGGAGTAGGTAGCTGTATGCACAGTATTTGCAGGATATGGGGATAGAAAGGCCATCATAATACTGCATACTGACAGGTTTGGTATAATTATATTAACAAACTCATTTATTACCAAGCTTAAAAACTGTTCAGAGACAAGCAAGATTGTTGATTGGGTCAACAGTCAGTGGCAAATGACAGTGCGATCTGGACGTGGATGGCATTTAGTAACAGATGTTAAGTAAGCCAGGAGATAATCCTTGGAGTGCTTCTTTGTGTGTGTGTGTGTGTGTGTGTGTGTGTGTGTTTTGGGTTTTTTTTTTTTTGTGTGTGTGTGTGTTTTTATTGTATTATTTTTACATGTACCGTCAAATCAGATCTGACTGGTACAGGAGGAGATTACCCCCTCCTTCTCCAGCAGAGCGTCTGGTGGATTTGAACCCCATACCTCTGGGATTGCAGTGCAGCGTCTTGCCACTAAGCCACCAGAGCTCCCTAAGTAGTGCTTCTTGTTACATGCTGTCAAGTCAGAGCCAACGCATAGCTGAAAACCAAGATTCTCACCACTGGGCCAATTGGCAGCATGATAGATAGTGAAGATATTGAGATTGTTAACAGCTTTAGTTTGCATGGCTCCACAGTCAACATTCTTGGTATCAGCAGCCAGGAAATCAAAAGACTAATTGCATTGGGAAAGTCTGCTGTCAAGAACCTCTCCAGAGTACTAAAGAGCAACGACGTCAGTCTGGAGACTAAGGTGCACCCATAGTCTTTGTATTTACTTGCTATGCATCAGAAAGCTGGACAGGGACTAGGGATGATAGAAAAAGAATTGATGCCTTTGAGTTGTGGTGCTGGAGAAGAGTATTGAATATACCATGGACTGCCAGGAGAACAAACAGGTTCATCCTGGAGAGGGTGAAATCAGGCTGTTCCTTGGAGGCAAGGACTCTGAGGCTCCATCTGACATACTTGGGGCATGTTGCAAGGAGGGACCAGTCCTTGGAAAGGGACATGATGCTAGAAAGGGTGGATGAACAGTGCAAGAGAGGAAGACCCTCAATAAAATAGTCTGATTCAGTGACTGGGCTGATGAGGGCCGGTGTGTCAAAGACAATAAGGTTGGCACAGGATAGAGCAGGATTCAGGGCTCTTGTACATCGGGTCACTGTGAGTCATAAGGGATGTGACGGCACATAACAGCCACAACAAATGGCACAGGAAGAGATTGCCTTTCTCTCTCCCACAGAGTAGCTGGTGGAATTGAACCACGTGCCTTTGGATTGGCAGCACAAGTCCTTAATACTGAGCCATTCGAGCTTCCTGTAATTTCATCTGTTATAGAACTGCTAACCGTTGATGCAAAAACTTTATATTCTTCTTGATGCTATAGTGTAAGTGTTAAAGCATTTATTAAAGTCTGAGTATGTTACCATTTGATACTCTGAAATGGTGACCTTTGTCCTAAGTGATGGCTATTCCAGACAGCTTTTGTATGCTAATGTCTGAATACTAGGACATACTCCTTTACTTTTCTGGCCCAAATAAGGTAACAATCGAGCTTTAAAATTTAAACAGCTACTAATCTGTAGAGGGGTAATGTTATCTGTCCTAACTTTGTGGTTTGATTTGAAGCCATCTGCTTCTGATTTTGTTGTCTGTATTATGAGACCTAAATTATAAAGGCAGTTTATTTGAAAAATCTAAACAATTTTTATATCCCAGTATGTTGTACTTGAATCCTTAAGTGTATTATAAAATAGTGAACTTTATAGATAAGAAAACGAAATCTCCTGACTTTGAATGTGAGTGAGCTATTTCCTCTGTCATTCCTTAAGTGAAAAACAGGAAACCAGTACTGGAGAGAAATTTGAAACCTTGGGTAATTTTTTTCATCTTGCTTCATTTCAACTTTGAGTAAATACTCACCTGCCTTTACAATGATAGGAATTTAATATTAGTCTGATGTTGTATGGGCAGAGCACTTGCCATTTCTCTGTTTTGCTGGAAATAGCTGAGTATATTTATGTAAATATAAAAGGTTGGTTCAGCGACTCAAGTCCCTGCCATGTGCCCTGACCATATAACAGCACTGTTTGTTTTTAATACCAACTGGTATTTTTTAAATACTTTGTTAACTTGGTAAAAGGAGTCACTTTATGTTCAAATTTTAGAAATTCAGGGCTGGCTTTATTTTCCTTCTGAATGTAAGGATGCATTTGATTATAAATAAGAATCTAATTGGTTTATTTTTAAATATAAAAGATGATATAATAAGAAAGTTATAGTTCATAAACTTTTAATAGAGTCATTTGTGCTGTTATTGGGTAGCATTGTGGCCTTCAGATCTTTGAATAAATTATGAGTAAGGTCAGAATAAATTAGGGGAAAGGTCTGTTTTTTAAAACATTATTAAAAATAGTGTTTTTTTAAATTTTGCAAAATAGTCGTTATTACATTGAATATTTCTAAACAGTTTTTCGAATATAAATTTGATTTTTACCACATGCTTATGAATTATTTTTAATCTAAAAACTTTTCAAGATGGTTGATAAAAAAGTACCTTGTTTTATATAAGTAGACAGCAATTCTGCAAAGGAGTATTTTTATTTTCTTTCAAATTTTTTTGGTTGGTTTTCATATAGTAATTCTTTGGAATTTTATTTTATTCATGTACATTGTGTACTACACAATCATTCATATAAACTGGATCCCATATAATTAGTTACTATTGATCTATGCCTGTTATTAGACCACCTTTTTAAGGCCCTATTGAATCTTTCCCATTCCCTCTCTCTTCCCCCAGACTGCTCTCTAAACTCTGTTTTCCTACGGATTTCCACCCTTCCCTTTTCCCAACTCTTTCCCCTTTTGAACATTTGTATACATCTTACCAGTTATCTTTCTGTTTCTACAATAATGGTTTTATGCAGTATTTGTCCTTTGTCCAGCTGACTGAGTTCAGCATAATGTTATATAGTATTTTATGACATTATTGCTCCTTAGTGCTGTATAGTATTCCATTATGTGACTGTACTACAGTTTCTCAATCCATTTGTCTGTTGATGGACATTTGGGTTGTTTTTCTATTCTTGTTACTGTGAATAACATCACTATTAACGTAGGTGTACATATATCTCCATTTGTTTCTCAGTTTTTATTTCCTTGAGGTATATTCCTAGCTGTGTAATAGCTAGGTCCTATGGGATTTCTGTGTCAGATTTTTGAGAAAATGACAAACTGCCTTCCAGAAGGATTGTACCATTTTGCAGTCCTATCCGTAGTGCATAAGAGTTCCAGTTTAAAAAAAAAAAAAAAAGAGTTCCAGTTTCCCCACATCCTTAAAGGAGGATTCCTGAGAGTAGACTTTTCTCAATATAAGAATATAAAGATTAAAACTTGAGCTTATAGTTAATACTCTTACTCTTTAATATATGGTTAATGAAGAAAATTTCTCTTTTTCAGACAGCAAATGGCTACATCTTATTTTTTCTCATTACATCTGCAAGAGGAGACAAATACCTTTATGAACCTGTGTATCCCAAGTAAGTTTGACATTTTTCTTCTTTAATATTATCATACTTTATATTCAGAAAAATACAATTTTGTATTATCTGAAGTGATTTTAGTAAAACTAACCAGGATTTCCTGATAGAGTGTTTCCAAAAATTACCAGGTCTTTGTAGTTAGTTATTAAATAAAGAATTCTGTAATTAAAAACATTTTAGAACGGTTCGAATCCACCAGATGCTCTGCCGGAGAAGGAGGCGCAATATCCTCCTGTACCAGTCAGATCTGATTTGACGGTACACGCACACAAAATAATAAAATTAAAAAAAAAAAAACAAAAAAACATTTTAGAATTTTGGATGAGTGTACTATATTTCTTGATGGATAAATTCAGAATGACTTAACATACTCCAGGTTCCTAGGTTCCTTGAGTCTATTGTTAGGGGAATGAGGTTGGATCCTAGGAAGGAGCAGGCTGTTTCTGTTAGAAGAGAACAGTTACTATTACAATAGAAAAGGATGAGGGAATACATTCAAATACCGGCAATAGTGGGAAGGCTCACAAGTTAACTGTGGTCCAGCCATTTCCTAAAATAATATATGTTGTTGTTGTTGTTATGTGCCGTCGAGTCGCCTGCGACTCATAGCGACCCTATGTACAACAGCCCTAAACTCCGCTCTGCTGTCACATATCATGCTACCAAATAAACCAAACTTGCCGCCTCACATGGGTTCCAACTCTTTTTTTTTTTTTAAATTAAATTTTATTCGTTTTAATGAACATTTACAGAGATTTTGGGTTTGGGTTCCAACTCTTTAACAGCCTGCCACTAGGTCTCTCAGGCTCAAGGTCTTTATGGGAGGAGACAGCCAGTCTTTGATTGGAATCTCCCACCTGGCGTTTAGGTTCGCAGCACAGTGTGTAACCAGCTAAGACACAGGCTCTAAGTGATGTTTCAAAAAAAATACATTAACTTGAAAATTTGATCATGCTGTAATATTCTTTTGTTCTAGTATTACTGTTTTTATGGTTTCCTTTTTTTTAAAAATTAGTTTGCTTACAAAGTTTGTATACATTGTGTTTCACACTAGTCTTTATTCACATTGTATTTCAATCATTCCCATGCATTATGTTTTATAAAATTATTTATTTATTTATGTATTCATTCATTCATTCATTTTATGTGTGTACCGTCAAATTGGATCTGACTGGTACAGGAGGCGATTATTCCTCCTGCTTCAGCAGAGCATCTGGTGGATTTGAACCACGCATCTCTGGGATTGCAGTGCAGTTTCCTACCACTAGGCCACCAGAGCGCGCCATGTTTTATAAAATTAATTACCATTGGACCTTGACCATCATTAGTCTGTCTTTTCAGGTCCCCACTGGATCTGAGTGAAGAAATAAGTCACACAAAATTATATACGCCATATGACCACAACTGTGTAAAACAGTAGAAACCTGTGATCCAGATATTTGTAGTAAATCTGTGTGATAGAGCAACAGGGATTTCCCCCTTCTTTCAATTCTTCAGGTTTCCAAAATTTTGATACATACAGATTTGTTATTGTCGTTAGGTACCATTGAGTCAAGTACCACTCGTAGTGACCATCCTGCACCATCCTCACGCTTCTTGTCACACAAGAGCCCTTTGCAGTAGTCACCACGTCAGTCCACCTGGTTGAGGGTCTTTCTCTGCTTTGCCAGCCGTCCACCCTTCCCAGCATCATGTCCTTCTCCAAAGAACAGCCCCTCATAGTAACATGCCCAAAGTATGTGAGGGAAAGCCTCATCATTGTTGCCTCCAAAGAGCACTCGGGCTGCATCATTCCCAAGACGTAACCTGTTTGCTCTCTTGGATTTAGTGTGGTTTAAAGAAAAATCATCGTATTTGAAAAATCTAAAACCTTTTTGTCATACTGGAGCCATGACAGCAGTTGCACTGTTTAGTTTAGGCTTTCGGTAAAACTTGTTTCCTAAAATGGAAATAAAAATACCCCCTTCCTCAATTGTTAGGATTATACAAACTCTAGTTTTTTAAATCTAAACAGTGGCTCACATAGGGCTTGAAAAGATTAAAAATAAATTTGGTTTTGACAGTGATAACATTATCAATGTTATTGTTAACCTTTATGTAGTTTAGAATATTGCTGTAAGCATTTTCCTTTTCCCCATCAGGACCTTGTAAGTTACAGTTACTATGCAGACTGTGGCACAGAGAAGTAGCCTCTCAGTAGTCGCATGCTAACCAGCCCGCCACAACTCAGACAGCATGTCATAGTGCCTCGGTGTGTGTTCTCAGTTAGAAATGCTATGCTGCCTCAACCCTTTATAACACATCCAGTCACCTACTATTTGAGCTGTCAGGAATAGAAAAAGGAGGAGTGATCTGAGATGGCATATATTCTACTCCAATTCATAGCAACTCTGTACAACAGAACACATCCTGCCTGAACTTCCACCACCTTCATCATTTCCCCTGTGTATAAGCCCATGATTGCAGTCACTGTCAAGGCCTCTCATTCAGTGGCTTCTTTTTTTTTTTTTTTTTTTCACTGACCCACTACTTTTCCAAACACGATGGATGTCCTCCAGGGAACTGTTCTCTCCTGATAATATACCAAAGTAATTCCTTAGTATGCATCAGAGCTGGACAATGACTAATGATGATAGAAGAATTGATGCCTTTGAGTAGTGGTGCTGGAGAAGAGTATTGAATATACTGTGAACTGATAGGAGAACAAATAGGTTTGTCCTAGAGAGGGTGAAACCAGGCTGTTCCTTGGAGGCAGGAATTTTAAAGTTTCGTCTGATGTTACTTTGGAAGTGTTGCGAGGAAGGACCAGTCCTTGGAGAGGGATACCATGCTGTCCCTTCACCCTTCCAGTGCAAGAGTTGAAGACCCTGGATGAGATGGAGTGCCTCAGTGACTGGGGTAACGGAGGTAGGTGTGTCAGACACAGTAAGGTTGGCTCAGGAATAAGCAGGTTTCAGGGCTGTTGTACATAGGGTCGCTATGAGTCACAAGCGATTCGATGACACAAAATAACAACAACACGTGAGAAAGTCCTTGCCTCTGAAGAACATTCAGGCTGTACTTCTTCCAAGATAGATTTGCTTGTTCTTTTGTCAGTCTGGATTTATTCACTGTTCTTTGCCACCACCACAATGCAAAATGTCAGTTCTTCTTCAGTTTTCTTTATTCATTGTCCAACTTCAAAAACAGCATAATGGTGACTAATGGTTTATCCTCCTCGCCTCAAGCATAGAAGCACAGTGGTCTTGTTTCTCTCCCCCAGTCTTTAGAGTTCATCCTAGTATTTTCTGGAGCATCTCAGCTTGCCTGTATTGTGTGACTTCTCGGCCTCAGGCTGCACGTCATTTTCCATTTGCTCCACCTGAGAGTTCAGGTTGGATGTCCCATGGTCTTAAGTTTCCTACATGTTGTTTCCAATGCCTCCTGTGCATGTTGTATGTCTTCTTGAATGAATGAGTTCCTCAGAGGTCATTTAGTCTTTAGTCAATGGATTTCCCCCCCCTTTTTTTCTATTTAATTTTTTTTCTTATAGATTCTGTTTTCTACCAAAAGCTCTGGTGGCTAAATGGTAAAGAGTTGTATTGCCAGCCCAGTAGCACCCAGTTCTAATCCTCCAGCTGCTCTGTGGAGTAAAGATTGGAGAAAGAAAGTCTTCTCCCATGCAGTTTGCAGCCTTGGAAATTGACCTGGGGGTCAGCTATGAGTCGGTTCTAAGTCGACATAACAACATTCTATACTAAAATTCCTCTTCATACTAATTGCACAACCAAAGGGAAACAAGTTGAAGATATTCCTGGCTTCAGTGTTTTAGAATGTGTGAAAATAATGAAAGAAATTGTGCTGGGGTAAATCAGAGAGAATTTGTTCTTACAGCTGGAATACATTCACATGTTTATCTGTAAATGAATTTAGTATATCTTAAATGTGAAACTATCATACATAATTTCATTATAATAAAAGCTATTTGTGTATGCAACAATGAATGAATTTTTTTTTTTTTACATTTTTTGTGTGAGTGTACCGTCAAATCAGATCTGACTGGTACAGGAGGAGATTGTCCCTCCTTCCCCGGCAGAGCATCTCGTGGATTTGAACTGTGCGCCTCTGGGATTGTAGTTGCAGCTCCTTGCCACTAGGCCACCAGAGCTCCCCTGAATTTGTTTTTTTAAGTGAACTGTCGGGGCTAGGGAGGAAAATGTGCAACAATGAATGAATAAAAATCTAACTTTCTGTATGTTTTGTTTAAAATTAAAAAAAAAAAAAAAAAAGTCCCAAAGCAAAAATCTCTTTGTGTAATATGTCTTCATAATTCTCAGCTGCCTTTAAAGCAGAATAGTTTTCCTTCTGTCTTTGCTCCCCTGCTGTGTACTTCTTATAATTAAAGGAGCAGACTTACTGAAATCAGGACTCTCAGCTGTTATTGTACTGCCATAGTTGATAGATTTGATTGTCAGTATCAGTGATATAGATACTTTATTCTTCAGTGAATGTCACTACAGATGCACTGTCAAAGCTTTGCCTTCCTCTCCTCCCTCAGTGAACTCCATTAAATTGTGAGGCTTCTTACCAAACGCACCAGTGATATTCAGTGCCAGGTGGCGCAGAGGAAGAGAGTCACTCATCAAGGTTAGCAGTTTCTAGCTTTAGCACGGTTTACCCCTTCAACCATCCAGCTCCATACATTAAGTGACATAGACACCTACTAGAGCACATCACAGTTACAGGGGAAAAAATAGGGTGTGAATGTGTTTGTCCTCAGCATTTTTTTTCCTTTTTGCTAAGTTAGGAGCATTCATGTTTAGAGCATAAAATTTAATTACCACCCCTTAAAGTCCTACAGATTTTAAAAGTTATTCTAATAATATACTTTGTTCTAAGAACTTGACAAAGTATGGAATCTCTTTTAGCTTCTTAAGACATTGCATCTGTAGTTTGATTTCAGTGTGTATGTATTCTCTTAACGTACACACGTTATGTGTAACCTTTCACTGCTGGAG